TAGTTACACATTAATTTTAATATTTTTAATATGGATGATTTACTAATTTTTATAACAGATGTTGATTCTCTTTAGTCGGTTTTGACTGTAATTCGTTAGCATCTGACTGAAGGAAAACCAACAACTGTCCTAATGATAGGACTCGCCTTGGGGTCGCGCCCACTCGTGCATTTATCAGCCCATCCCGTCTGAAATTCCTCACAACACATAGTTTAAGCAGCACCCCGCATAAAAGTCAATACTTATGCCAGTGATGACAGTATTAGAGAAAGAATGAAGACCCACCGGAGAAGACTGGCCTCGTGTGTGATCTTTATCAGCACGTCATGCTCAAGTCTTCATTAGCCACGGAGACGTCTTGAATCAGCGGCCACGGAATCGCTTGCAGGTAGAGAAGCTCCCAAAACGATGTAATGATCATCATAAATGCAGTTAAATTAAGGCTAAAATAATACCCAGATTGTACATAAACAGTCGTTTAAAAGAATGGGTGGTCATTTTATTTATCTTGGCACACAAATGAATTTTCGTTTTATAATATTACACTATGTTAAGGAAAGATAATCCGTAGATCATAAATCAAAATTTCTAGAAGGTGATTCGATATATTATTTTTTTACAATCAACGGTCTCTTTTTCTTATGAAGCCTTAGTCTCTTCAGATCCTCAAATTAAAGGATGGATTTACCAATTGACAGTTCTATTGATATCCTTTATCCAAAATTTGAAATTTTATTGGACAAAAGATTTGTGCAACTGCTAATAAAACCAGTTAGCTGTAGAAATATCGTCCAGCACTTATTATATTAATAGTTTAATTAGTACCTGCTCCACCCACATCCCACTGATCTGGGACCACGGTGCATTAGCATTAACTAACACCTCATCACTGGCCGGCGCTGACTGACTGACTACCTGTATTATGTGGTCCCGCAACATTTGGCTGCCAGTTTTTAGTTTTTTCAGCTTTTCTGCCAGATGTGCTGGCCAGTTTTTGTGTTTTTCCTTGTCCAAGCGCCGCTGCACGCGAAAATGCATTTCCCGCTGTGTGTGCGAGCGGCTTTTCATGAAAAACCAACCGAGTCTTGGGCCACTGCCTTCATGTTTTTTCACGCTGTTGTTGCATATTTCACACACACAGCTTGCGGCAACACCTCGTGCCAAGAGTTTTGCCATTTTGCCGTTTTCGCCTGGAAAATTAGTGCAAAATGGGCAAAAGGCAGAGGGAGATGGAGATGATGGTTCCCGTTCCCGTGTGTGCATAAATTTGTGTGCATGATCGGCAGCAATAATTTTATTTGTTTACGATTATGTTCGCTGGCCAACGGCAATAGCCGTGGCCAATAAGCCGGTCAGTTGGCTCTGCATCCAGTCCACAGCGGCCTGGCCAACTGCCACTCCATTCGCATCACTCATACGCCCCGACGACAGCCGCGCCAGCAGACTTTGTGGCCCCTTCTCTCCGGAAAAAAGTCCGCATATTACTCGGTTCAAATAATATTTTTAGAGTAAAGAAAACACTTTCGTAGATCACCTGACTTTAGATTTACAAATAACTAAATTAACTATTTTATAAACTTATCTTTACTGCCAGAAATAACAGAATGACAGAGATTCAACAGTTTTGTAAACGTGTAAACTAAAAGTAACCGGAGCATGTTCATTAGAAGACGGTTAAAACTTCTCTTTTAAGATTATATATGGTATCTTAATATACTTACTTTATATTTATTTTTATTACTAACTGAAATTAATCGAAAAATGTCAGTATAAACATAGTACGCGAATTCTTTAGGAGACGGTTAAAATTTCTGTTTCTATTTATGGTAATATTTTATAGGTTGAAGTAGATCCTTCGCTATTTTTTTGACTGTAAAACCCAACCCCAGATTAGCTCCATTCAGCTCTGCACCAATCCGACCCGATCCATGGCGATCTCAGCTGGCTTGTTGTCGCTCTTGTCGGCAGGCGCCTGTGCCTTGCTCGGTCCATTCAATTCACGTGAAAATTGCTATAAATTGTGGCCAGATCGGGCCAGAAAAATATATAGTCAAACAATGCTGGCTGCTTTTGGGGGCCGCACACGGTAGGGATTTATTGTTTATTGAAATTGCCACAAAACGGTGCAAAATAATGAGAAAATCGCAGCAGCCAGACATTTTTATGTTTTCATTTTCCAAAGTTGTTTGGCTTTTCCGCTCCGCAGCCTGAGTCATGTAACCATAGACGTCATTAAATCTGCTCAGAACAAATTTCCCTAAAAGCCAAAATGCCATCTATATATCTTTCAGACACGTGCCCATCTTTTGTTGTCATCCACTTCATGGGATGTCGGCTGTTAACTTTAATGCTTTGTGCTTTGTGCTCGTGCTCGAAGAGCAGAAATCACGTCTAATCAAGATTGATAGTCCGTAACGCATTTATGCCTGACTTTCGACGCCGACTAACTCTCGGGGAGAACAAACCCCCAAAGGACATCGAAAGCCACCCCCAAAAACCGAGGCGATTGCAACATTTGCGCTTTTTGCTGGTCAAATGTTTGTGCCGCAAGTTGCAGCCACAAAAAGGGGCGGTCTGATGACATTGGAAAACCGAACTGAACCGCAGCAATACCAATCTATACCCGAGCAATCCAATCCCCATATGTGCCATTAGCGACGGCTGCGTTGATTAAGTTATAAAATCTGATTCCCCATGGCCAGGATCTCCGATTGCACTTAACCGAAATGAACTGCACTACGGGGAGTTTTTTAGGGGTTTGACTTTGATTGTCTATCAACTATGCTACAATTTCTACTGGATACCATATTAAAATAGATCTCATAAAGATTTTTACATTTTAATGACATGAGCTAAAATCAGCTTTATTTACTATTTAATAGATTTAGTTTTTTACCAACAACCAAATTGAATAGAAATCGATTATTGTTTAAGATCTGGTAATTACTCTAATGTTTAATATGGAAATCAAAATATTTATTCTTAATATTCCTATATTATAGTTAGGAGAAAATGTTCCTAATATAAATTTGAGACCTTGAAAATATTTGTAATTTATATCACATACACCATTATTAACTGTTAAAAAAATAGTTCTAAAAATAAATAACGAACATTTGGGGCACCTAAAAGTACTCCCAATTTATATCGCCTTCTCATAATGAGCTGTTAATACCTCTAATTCCCATTTAGTTTATAGAGCCATCTGTTTGGTGGTCTTTCAGGGCGAAAACGGTGAAAAATCACTCATTTGCATAGTGCAATTAGTGGGAACTCTCGGATGCAGCTGCCGCTGCCCATCGAACAACTGTCGCGCCCACTTAAATTAAGGGATTCTGATTCTCATTCTGATTCCGATCGGAGAAACAGAACAGAGAAACAGCACCGCAATCCGCACAGATTTCCCATTGAAATGGCAAATATTTGCAGAGACAAATGCCTGCTGAAATGCGGAAATTACAAAACAAATGTGCGAAAAAGTATTCCTCAGCCGCGCTGTTTTTTCAGAACATTTGCCAATATAATTCGCACGCAAGTCTGTGCACATTTCGAGCCCATTGTTTCGGGGGTTGCGCCTCGAAAACAGCAAATGCGTGAAAGGTGCCATCGATTTCGATGCTTTTGGGCTCGAAAATCCCCGATCAACCCTTGGGAACTCGAGAACGGATCGGACTTCATCGCCCAATGACACGAAATCCTAGCAATTAACTTAATTAAATTGGAATAACAAGTGCTCAGCAGTCGCAATCGGTGGTCCTAATCCTCTTCGGTCGGACTGTTTATCTTTGTGCTCGAACAAATGTCGAATTTTTCCACGAAGGGCTCCGCACACAACAAAATTGGTTTGCCTCGTATGTTTACCCAAGTTTGTTTGCTCCAGTTGGTAAATGTTAATAAGTAATTTTAATTTGTCCTTCTACTAAAATGAAATTTTCCGAGTCCTGTTTGCATTGCTTGATTTGTTTTGGGAGCGAAATTAGTCGAGGGAATAGTACATGAAATTAGTGGACAAACAGAAGAGGGGTGGTTTATGAGCTGATATCTGTTCCGAAATTAGGAAGATAAACATGGAACAACTGGTAGCTTCTTTAGGAATACTGTAGTGTTTTTTGATATGTAGAGTATTAGTAAAATTTATTACCACCCTTTGTAACTCTAAGATTTTTTAATGTTATTTATGATGGGAAGTTTTAGTCAATGTAATTAGTTACTCGTTAAATTTATTGAGTCCAATGCTAGTTTAAAGTCATTTACTTTTTGTACATGCCCTTGAATAGAAATGTCCTCTAGTGTTTTTACTAAGTCCATTGCAATCATCTTATTGTTTTAAAATTGTATGTTACCCTTTCTAAATTTTTCCAACTAAGCCTTCCTTTATTTTCCTTGTTGTTGATTTCCCTATGGACAACATCAAACGATTCTCCTTCGTAAATTCCTCGACATGAGACACATCTAAATTCCATGCAACTCCTTCTCCAATTTTCGCAGCTGCAAAAGTCAAAATGCGTGGCGTGTTCCAGCTCCGATTTCAATACCCTGCAAATAGCTTTAAGGCATCCAAATCCGCCACAGATACGATACGGATTCAAATCCCCCGACCACTGCCATCCAGCCAGCTGAAGCGAGAACAAACCAAACTTTAATGGCAGTCAACCAACATTAGAGCCAACAAACCGAAACCAAGTGACTAAATGCAGTTAACAAAATTAAACTCTAGAAATTATTGAAAAATATATAAGTTGGTTGACCCTCTTAAAGAGCCTTAAGAAAATAGATATATATTTTAACCTTTTAAAAATTTAAAAAATGTCAACTACCAATTCAAATATTTTATTCGTCACCAATGACTTTTTAAGCATACATATTTTTTCTTAGTGTTTCTCCTAAAGAAAACTTTATTTCTGGCTAAAAGCTTTCGAAGCTGAATTTTCCACGCCCCTCCTCTCATGAGTTTTTTCCTCCGGCGCCCCAGCACTGCGGAAACGAAAGAATTCTAATAAATGTCAGACGAGGACGCTCCCCAAAAGCAAATTCCTTTTGATGAACTCGAAATTGTGCACGTGCAAAGCCAGGACAGCGGCGGCGGTGGAGGGGCAAGGGGGGTCGAGATGGATGGGTGAGTTCCCGGGCGAGGACTCAGAGCCCGAGCCCAGAACAACCCCCAAAACACAAATGTTGGGGTGTGTCGGAGTTAACGAGTTCAAATGTATTCATGAGCCGGCTCTTACCAGCCAGCTGGCTTTTATGTGGGAGGTGTCGCGTGGGGGAGCGCCAGCCCCCTGCCAAAACCTCCCCCCTCGAGGACTGGGCTTCCTGCCAGCTGCGAGGGTTGCCTTTCCTACCCGGCCCTGACTTATTGCCTCGCGGTCGTGTGGGAGGATGTGTCTCGGCCCGAAGGCCAAGAGCCCACCTCCCTGACGAGTTCCACTCGATGTTTTGCAATTTGCAGGTGTTTTCATTTCCCATTTCGACCAGCTGTAGACATTTTCCATCAAGTCATGGGGGTTACGTTAAAAATCTTGATTGAAAAATTAAAATCCTTTATATAGTTTAAATGTGAAATATTAAACGACTCTATTCTAGAAATCTTAACCAAATCAATAAATAATTCTTATTTAAATAATAAATTGAATATTTGATGGTCCGTGTATTCACACGAAAATTATCTATTTGTCTGTATTATATAATCCATTTTAATAATCCAGCATAGAGTGTTCAAATACTTGAGGCCATTACTTACATTTGCCTTTATTGAAACAAGTAATTTCTTTGAACTTTTAAGAACCTTTTCAGCTAACATAATTTTTCGAGTGCACTGGTTCCGAAATGATGTTTGTGTGAAAAGTGCGTAAGCCGCAATGGAGAACATGGAAAAGAAACAAACACTTCTCCCCGAATGGGGTGATAACAGGCCCTCTCTGGACAGCCCTGATCTCTGATGCTGTCCAGAAGTCGGCCTGCCACTGGAAAGCGATCAGACGATCCGCAGACCAATTGATCGAACTATATAAAATAAAATATTTCCACATAGATTTCCCAAATAAAGCGAATGCGGGGAATATCAGTGGCGGCTCGTTAAATTTCCCCGAGGGGGATGGGTGTGTGGGGCAGTGTGTACGTGGCATTGATAGCACCTCGAGGGTCTGCGGGCCATCAATTCTCGTGTCTAATTTAGTGGCAGTTGGTGCCGCAACAAATCGCCTTCATTAGGCTCACAAATCGCTCGCTTATTGGCACGCCACTCGGTTAAAAATTTATGCGAATTTATTACGGCCTAAAAAGCGAGTGCAAATTGTGCAAATGCGCCCATTCAGTACAGTAGTTAACAGCTATGGCCACCCCGCTGCGCTGACCATCCATGACAATGATCGTTATGGGGGGACCCCGATCCCTGCCGATCTCCGATCTTTTCGAGGTGTCGTACTGGGCAGTGTGGCGAGCGAGGATCCCGGCCGCGTCCAAAGTGGGCTTAAATGAAGCGATTTCTTGGCCCGACCAACCATCTGTTATAAATTGATGGCGGGGCTAAGTGAACTGCTGTTGTTGAAGGATTCTATTACCACTTCATGGGGTTATTAGTTGGCTTAATCAGGAAGTGAGCAGGTTTTATATGGCTTTATCATGTGCTTTTTATTTAATTATTCTAATTCTCTGTTTGATATTAAAAAACTGTAAATGGAACAGTGAATGATAATCAGGGTTTAAAATATTATCCACCTACTGAGAAAGTATAATAGACTGTATATGGTAGTTGGTAAATATATATCTCAAATGGCATGATCAAAATAGATCAATCTTTATTCTTACTAAAAAACACCCTAAGATCTTCTAACTAAACCGAACCCCTCAACTCTTCAGTTTCACCCACCTATTCGATGCTTCTGCACTCTATCCCCAGACAGCTCCGACTTTCTACCATTTCACATCCATGTGGCCTGCCAATCAGAGGTGCCACGTAGCATTATATATATTTCCCCGTTTTTTCGGGGTATTTCGCTTTATTTATCTGGCACATAAATAAAATATTTTCGGTACTCGCTGGTCAGCTGTTTCCCATCAACGGCGCTTGCCACATGGGCTCTAGTCCATCGATTGCCACGGGAATGGGAATGGGAATGGGTTGTCGGTGGTCTTCAGATTCAGATTCGGATTCTATCACCTCCGCGGGTCTCTCGCGGTGGAAGTGGCATAAAGAAGCGCTAATGTTGCATTAAATTCAGCTGAAATCAACTGTTAAGTGGCTTTCAGTGAGCTATTTAATTCTCGAGCACCCAAAAAGACCAAAAGGCGATATAAATACGGAATTTCATAAATAAATATGCGTCTGCGATCCGAACTTGAATGGCTTTTTTATCTTGAACATCTCAGTGGTTCTTTGTTTTTAGGGGCAAGTAAATAACATAGAGGATGTTATGCTTCGAGCAATTATGAATGTTTTGGCAGGCCGAGTTTTGAGCAATCTGTGAAATTCTACAAAATTCTGGCAGCTGTTGAGGAAGTAAATTAAAATTTGATTTGATTGAGCTATGAGTTAGAAATGGGAGAATTTAAACATCCTGTTGGATATGAATGAAAGTAAGCACGTTTTAGCATTGTGATAAAATGTGTGATTAAGTTGGGGATTGTAAATAAATATTTACCGATTGATCGTAAACAATTTTTAGTGAGTTGAGAGCTATTGTATACCTAAAAGCGAAGTTCATTTTTAAAATCGATGTGCCATAGCTTATTCTTCTCTAAACTCTGTTTATCAACAATTTTATTTGTTCTGCTGAGAAAAAACCATTACTTAACCTTCTATTAACTTGAAATCCCATCACCTCTTCTTGATCTCAGATTGTGTACCAATACCTTGCTCTCAAGCATTTTTCTATCTTCCCAGCCAACTTTCAACCTTTCCAAACCGACCCAAAACCCCGAAACAGAGGTCAAAACCTCTGGGTTGCCTTCTCCGTATGCAAATCTCGAGTGAACGGATCGCAAAGGAGGTCGTCAATTGTGGCTCCTCGCATCCGCAGAACTCACAGAACACCGAACAGAAGACTGCCTCAAACTCAAAGGCTTGTCAGCATTTCGTCAAAAGACACATGTTGTCGTCTAGTTGGGGCTTCAAAGCTTCAGAGCCAGAAGACAAAAGACAAAAGGCGGGGACAGCCGATTCTAACGAGAATAATATAGTTCTCCATTCTCTTTATTTATATTTATGGCGGTCGACGAAAGGCTTCTTAGAAAACGCATAAAACCTGCGCCAAGACAGCTCCACATGCTACGTAGACTGTGGCCAAATGTGCACGAACGATTGACTGTCGTGAAGCTTCGTTTAAATGCGTTTTTAATTAATTATGCGACGCGCGTGCCACATGCAACGTGCTGCAAGCGAGGGGCAAGTATATGCAGCAGGCAGACTTCAGTGACAACACACGATCGACATAAAAATGCAGACGTCGGGCGGGGAGGTCGTAAAAATGCGGCAAGAAATTTTCAAATTTGTAAAACGCTGAAAATTCCCAAAACGCATGAGGATCTTTTGGATGCACTGGAAGAAAACAGTAGATTCCAGGAGTATTTTCCGTAAAAATATATCCTAAAAGCTATTGCTCTGTATCTGTTCTGTATCTTTAAAAAACAATATAGTTTTTAGAAATAAATTACTCGAGTTATACATAAGTATTATAATAAACTCTGGTACAACGTTTTTTTGATTTAATACGTATGCAGATACATAATTAATATTTTTGGAAATTGGATTCTGATTTTTTCTAATGTTTAAAGAAACATGTATTCATCAGATAGAGCCTTCCATACCGAAGTGATTTTTCCTCACAATAAGTTCTTGAATTCAGAACCCAATGGTTGATTCTTTCAGTGCACATTCCCTTAACCCCTTGGTGCCCCTCTTCGGTAGCCTGCCACGCATGTGTTAATCTGCGTGGAGCACAATTAATTTTCTGCAAATGCCTGGCAGGCAGCCTCACTGAACCCAACAATGCGCCTCGAGAGATCTCGGGGCTTATATATTTTATTAATTACGCTCAAGTGCTCTGGAAGGGTGAGACGGGGGGCGCAGTCCGGGGGAAGTGCTCTGCCGGGGCTAATTACTGAAAAATTGGCAGTTGTCGTTGATTTTATGGTAAATTATTTGTCAGCAAGATGGAAGATGGCCAGTGGAAGATGCCAACTGCCGACGACGACTGCCGACTGGCGACTTGCGACTCTTCAAATGTCTGTCTTCGAGGAGTGGGTTAAGTCGTGGGCTGCCGGGGGCCGGGGGACCTGCCTAGACAGATTTATGGCTGGCATTTGAAAGTTTATGTATAACTAAATGCGGTTTTGATTTTAGTTGCAGTTTGGCTCAACCGAGCAGCTGCTCCGGGAAATAGAAAGAAATCGTGTTGGAGGAGACGGGAACATCGATCAATTGCGGATATAATAAAAAACAGGATAAGGAATGGTGATGGTCCTCTGGTTAAAATGGGTGACATAAATACTTGACCCTCATGAAGCTGTCAGCACTAAAAGATATTTAAATAATTGCTTACCTTAGTGTTCTAGAAAAAAAAATCCCTAAGATATTCCTATCCTATCCGCTCAATCTAAGTATCCCCTCCTCATCCAAGTAAATGAAGCTATGTTCCATGTGATGGCCTGTAAATCAACCAGATCACGCACTTGAAATAAAACTGTCAAAGATCTCTGGAGAACATCTAGTTCTGGCCGCGGATAGTATCGAATAGAACCTGAAACTGAGTTCAATTTAACCTTTCCCGTCCTATAAATACCCATAACGATTTGAGGCGACATCGAAGGCAGTTGTCCGGGCAATTTATAGATGGTTTCGATGGGCTGGGTTCTCGTGTATCGTATCTTAGGAATCCAAACTCAGGGGCCACCCAAAGTCCCGCCGAGAGTGCCGGATAGCCATTAAAAACGACTCGAGTCGGGGTTCTTTTTATGATTGCCACTAATCAGAGGCATACTTTGCATATTTCGACTAATTTTCATTAGCCGAATGGCTTTTGTGTCTCTCTGATTTTTATGAACACGACCACAAATTTTAGTTAGTTGGCCAAAGACAAATGCCCCATAAATTGTCGGCTGATTAGTGCAACAATTTCAGGGTCATAAAACTTAATAAAACCCCATAAAATCGGTGCAGCTGGCAAAGGATCCGCGAGTTAGCACTCGAATGTATCTCATAGATACACAAGCGAACGGCCATAAAAATCAAATTGCAATGTCTAAACGACTGTAAGCGACTAATTTTGCACAAGTTAATAAATTTGTTTCCCCGTTTTTTCTTGTTTCCTTCGGAGGAGTAACAGGCACACAGATCGTGCTCCAAAAGCTGATCTTCATATTTAGTAAGCTGCAAATTATTACCACAATTTCCAGACGCAATTTGCCAAAAAAAAGGAAAAAGCGAGAAAAAATGCGGTGCAACGAGCAGAACGCACAAGGAAAACATATGGAAAATTATAGTAATAAATACTTTCGGGGACCAAGGGGTCTCTGAACACTGGACGACACGCAGCCAGGCACTTGGAGGTAA